CCAATCTTTTAAAGATAAGAAAGTCACGTGAAACTGAGATATAAAAACTATAAATGGTTTCGATAACAATCACTGTAATGTATCAAACGGCTGTGTCGAGAAAATCATAATATGGACCTTCTAACTATACCTACCTATTGCGTTTACAAATAACACATTACTATTATATATTATGATCATTCAATGTTTAATATTGAATAAGTTTATTTAGAAAAACGAAAAAACATTAAAAGATGTTTAAAATTAAATATATGTATGATAATATGATATCATAATCATATTTTTTGTTCATTTTGTGTCTGACGAATTTCAATGACTTATTTAATTTATTTATAAATTAAAAAAAAACTACTATTTCTATTTTTTCTATCTCGTTCTATCAAGTTCTATTCTTTCTATCTCTTTATTCACAGACAAAAATGTCTAAGTCTAAGAAATATTTACTCCAAACTGGAAATTTCTGAATTGAACATTTAAAATATTTAGGTATTCCATTTTTTTATAAAAACAGCCAATTCTATATCATTTGATTAAATTATAAGTCAAAGATTCATAAGTACTTTATAATGTACAAATATTTAAAGGAAATGCTTACAGATGTTAATGGACTTAACTAGCTACGTGCGATATTACCTAATGTTAGCAAATAATAAAATTGTAGCAGAATCAAAATTGTACATCAAATATCTTCGGAGAAATTTTATTCGGAGAATTCCCAAACGTAATAGAAGCGAAATCTACTGTTTTTAGATTTTTTCTGTGACTGTTAAATAGCGTATAATTCGAGAATGGATGGACGGATTTCAATGAGAAATTTTATTGTTAGTAATCTTTTCATTCATTGTCAGACTAAAAAAATAAGATTGATGGAGCATGTAATAGATAGGGATTGAAACATGAAATGGTAGTATAATTAAAATTTTCATAATATCATTTCTGGTACTATTATCGAAGTGTAATAAACAAAAAAATTTAGTATGCTATCGTGATTTGTAAAAAAATTAAAACCCTTCCGGGAAAAATATTAAGAATTACCTGAAATAATTATATTAATTGATCTTCTATATTACATTGCTTTCCGTTAGCTTTTGCTACTTTGCCCGCGTAGTTCATATTATGTAAGTTTATATAAATGCTCCCCTCCTAAGGTCTGAAATTCTAAATAAATACAATATAAAAATCAAAAACATTTTTCAGAAAAGAAGAAAAAAAATGAACAATCTTCATCAATCTAAATCAATCATTCAAAAATACAGTTGCTATCGTGCTCACTTATTTTGTGGTTTAAAAAGATTCAAATTAATAATAATAATGTTACGAGTGTCTGGATAAATATGTTTTTTAAAAAAAGGAAATTGAAATAAAAAATAAAATTATAATTTGTATGGAAAGAGACAGCCGACTGGCGTGGATGTAGGATGGATGGAGACTGAGTGGATTGACGGGCGACTGGATTACTAATGATAGAATGTGCTGAGTAGTTAGAAAAAAGCTATGTAAGCTCAAAGGGGTGCATAGCCTATGTATAACACCTCCCTGGGGTGGACTAAACTTCGGGGTTAAAATTTCGAAGTTTAGGAAAACAACGTATTTAATCTTATATGTTTCTTCTAATGTTAGGACTGGGAATATTTTCCGGATTTATCTGACGTTTATGAATTTTAATAGGTATGATAGAATCTGGATTTGGTGTTTGACTTTCGGGTGGTTCTACTGGGGTTGATTGGAAAAACTTAGGAAAGTGACAGGACAGGCGGCTGTGCAATTTAATATAAATAAACAACTTAATTACACAGTAAATAAAAATAATACATGCTATTAAGATTAATATAATGGAGTAATGAGCCTCATATTTAATTATATTATGTTGGTTTATAATTTTATTGGCTTCATCCGATATGGATTTTAACTTAGATTTTGTTTCCATGGTGAAAATGTCTAAATCAAAATTTTGAAGTTTTATACGAGGTTCATTACTTATCTCTTTTTTAAACTTATCTAAACTACAGCAGGAATCATTTATTATATTAAAATCAGAGTGGGATACAGAGATATTAATCTTAATACTATTTAATTTAGGAAATAATTTGGTACTCTTACAATATGCAATACAATTATTAAGGATTTTTACAATTCCGGTCCCAATAATATTTATTTCTAGATTTCTTTGAGTGGGACATTCAATATATAGTTTATTGCTTACAGATTGTACATAAATCCATTTATTATTGGAAAGTGGTTTCCATATATCTATATTTCCGTAAATAAAATCCGTTTGGCACTGCACTGGTAAAACACTAATAACTTTTGACATTAGCTCACTTTCACAACTGGGATTTGCACTAGTAGAAAATACGCTCATAATGTCACAGATGTAGTCGCGAGGGCTTATCGCTTTGCATTCTTTTAGTGAGTCAAGATTACAATATTCTAATTTATCTTTGGTCATTGCGATGTACTTACTGCTAGGAATTATAAAACTAAACGATTTTGGTTTAGCACTATTATGAGGAGTCGGCAATGCAATATTATGAAATAAATGATATACTTTGGGAGACACTAACGGTATACTTAGTATAAAAACTATCTTATTATTTAAACTATAACAAACTATTCTAGATACGTTTATTAATATATGAATATTACTTAATTCTAGGCTTACAGGTAATTTTACATTTTCAGGTAAGTATCTATAGTTATCGACAAGCTCTTGGTATAACTGTGTGGGTGGTATTATAGCAGGGTGAAGGATGTTTTGACTACTAAACATGATAGCATTTATTATGTCTTCTAATTGGAAAGATAAAGTGAGTATGGAGGTTTCTAGAGTGTTTAAGATTGAGTTAATTTTGATTTCGTATTTAAATCATTAGAAATAATTGATAGATTTTTTAAAGTTAACGAGAGTTTGTCAATAGCTTCATTAAGCCTGTCTTCATTAAATTTTATTTTATTTATGGTATTATTAATTTTTGACAAAGTAAAGGTTGTTATTAAAATATTTTCCTTCATTAATGAACCCAGACTTTTCTCATTCATTTGGATACTTCGTATAGCGTTGTCATATCTGACAGCATCGTCTTCGTCTAGAGTCCCAAAGATTGTTTTTGAAAGTGTGCCTATACCACCTAGCCATGCCCCACGCTTAAATCTGTTATTATTTAATAAATGAGCAATGGAAGAATATTCGGAAACTATATCGTTATATCTAACTGTGAGTGGTTCTAAAACGTTATGACACTCTAAGTTACTTGCGGTTTCAATTTGGATTTGACTGCATAAAAAACGAACTGTACCTAATATAGAATTAATGTTTTGAATATGAGGTTCAATGTGTGAGATATCAAATGGGATAACTACGTCTAAGTAACCAATATTAATTTTAAGTTCACCAATTGGATCAAAGTAGATACCAGAGCTTGAGTTGATTGGTTGGACATATTCTTGGTGACCTTGGGCCAGTATGCTGTAAATAAAATATAGAGATGGAATTACTCCTAGAAATTTATATTCCTTGATATACTATAAAATGTAAAGGAAAAAATTAATGTAAATACGAGTATAGTAAAAATCTATTCTAAGAAGAAGAATGCACTTCCTGTACTTCTACATGTTTGACTTCGTCATAGTGGTGTTTCACATGACGTCTATTTATAAGTAATGATAATGTATGATTACCATGTATTTTAACGACCTTGTATGGACCTTTCCATACAGGAGATAAGGCTTTGCGTAATCTTAGATGATTTTTTAACAGGACGTAATCTCCTACCTTATACTCAACAGGACGAGTGCGTTTATCATAATAAGTTTTAGAATTTGCTTTTGACTTATGAATGTATTCTAAAGCTTTATCGCGGGCGTGTTTCATACGATGTTGTAATCGTCTTACATATTCGGGATAGGTAGTATCAGAAGAATTGTAAATTGAATTTGGAATGTGAGGTTTGTGACCAAATACTAATTCGTATGGAGTATAGTGCGTGGTTGAATGTACAGCGGTATTATATGCTAACATAGAAGTATATACATATTGAGGCCAATTATCTTGATTTTCGTTTACATAAGATTTAAGATATTCTTTAAGGGTTGAATGTGATCTTTCTAAAGCACCTTGCGTTTGCGGATGGTAGGGTGATGACCAGAGTTGTTTAATTTTAAAAACCTAACCATATGTACCTAACCTAAACATGTTTTCTTAAAAAGTTCAGCTGTGAAATTGGTGCCTTGATCAGTGAGTATATGCTTAGGGATTCCGAATAAGGATATGAAATGAAGAAGACAGTCGCTTGCTTCTTCAGCCGTGTTACAGCGAATAGGATATGCTATCGAGTACTTTGTTAAATCGTCTTGCATAGTTAATATGTACTTAAGCTTCGCTGTGCCAGACTCAGGCAGAGGGCCCACAATATCAAGGGCTACTCTCTCGAATGGGGATAAAGACGTGGATGTTATTACCATTGGGGCTCTATTAATTTTACGTAAGGCTTTATTTGTCTGGCAGGATGAACAATTCTTGACATATTTTTCGATGTCGCTTGACATGTTTTTCCAATAAAATTTCTCTTTGATACGACTGAGCATTCTTGATGACCCTAAATGCCCTGCGATAGGGATGTCATGATTTTCTTTAAGGATTTTAGGGATTTCGCTAAGTGAAGGACATATAATATTATTATGATAAATGTGGATACTTATCCTAGTTCCATCAAATAGATAAGCTATCATATTATATATTTTAACAAACGAGTGTCTATCGAAAGGGTTTTTAAAATCAGATGAACCAATCTCGTTTATTGTTGGATAAGACATGATTATTTCATCACGTGCATATTTTAGGGATTTAAATATATCGGGATACGAGTGATTATCAAAATGATGCACTTTCGTGAATAAGAAAAGATAAGTTTTATTGTCTATTGTAAGAGGTAAAAATGTATGTAAACTTCTTTCTAATCTCAAAAACTCATCACGTTCGGGGTTTGGACAATTACTAATTACTTCTTGGACATAGGGCATAGATCGTCCAAGTCCAATGAGGTTGGTATTATTACCAATTTCTGTATTCCTTTCAGTAAATTTTCATTATGTTCTGTAATGGATGTATCATATAATTTTGCGGGTGATTTTAAAAATTTGTTATAGGTTTCGTCGGATAATAATGTACTTTCAGGAACTGAATGAGGAGTTTCTGGACTTGGGTAAGTTGATACAGGTAAGGTTTCAGGATTTTGCCAACTAGTCGAAGGTTGCGGTTCTGGTTCTGTTTGAGAGTAAGGTTCATCAGGTATCGCTAAGGTATCTATGGGAACAGAAGGGGAATTTAGAGGGTTAGAATGAACAATTTCATCATCTGTAGAATTAGAATCCCTTCCTAGTAATTCATCAAGGATTTCTTGAGGAATTTCAGTCATTGGTGATTCGGGTTGAGGCTCAGCAACAAGGATTTGGTTTAACACCATGTTCAGTAATCACATGACCTAGATAACAGACTTCACGACGTAGAAATTCACACTTATCTGGCTGTAGTTTTAAGTTAAAATCTCGGATTCTTTGAAAAATTAATTTTAAATTTGTCATATGAGTTCGAAGGTCATATGCGTAGCAAACTATGTCATCCAAATATACAAAACATCGGATGCCTTGGAGCCCGGTTAAGGCAGAATTCATTAACCTCTGAAAGGTAGAGGGAGCATTTTTAAGCCCGAATGGCATTCTTAAAAATTGGAAATGGCCTTCTGGGACGTTAAAGGCTGTTTTAACCTTGTCATCTTCATTTAAAAGAATCTGGTGGAACCCGGATGCTAGATCTAATGTAGAGAAGTATTTACTATTTCCAAGCTGATCAAGTATCTCTGTGATCTGTGGTATGGGGTAAGTGTCACCGATAGTAACGTCGTTAAGTTTTCTATAATCGATCACGACTCGCCATTTTTGCGTGTTGGATGCATCAAGTTTTTTAGGAACAACCCATATGGGTGAAGACCAGGGTGAATCAGAGGGTTCAATAATGTTTTGTTCTAGCATCTTATTAATTTGATTACGAACTTCTGTTTTGTGAACTTCTGGGAATCGATAAGATTTAGTATGAATGGGTGTATCGGTATTAGTTTTGATTTCATGTTTCAGGGCACTTGTATAGGTAAGGTTTTCTCCGGGGAGATGGAAAATATCGGAGAATTCAGAACAAAGTTCTAGAAGAGCTTCTTTTTCTTCATCATTTAGGTGATCAACACGAACCTGTTTGAGCACTTCTCTGGTCCGTGTAAAACTACTGCTGTGATTTATATGATTTATGACTTCAGTTGATTGTTCCTTATATTCCGGGATATCGATTGGGATTAATTCAAGGCTAAGATCAGATTTTAGGGTTACAGGATTTTCAGAAGTATTTACTACGGATATATTTACTCTATTATTTTCTTTAACACGCACTAAGCAATTTGCAATCAATAGTGATTCAGAAATTTTTTGATCAAGGACTAATCCTTCTTTGATTTCAGGGTTTCTAACAGAGGATTCAATGACAGTTTCAGTTCTCGCGGGTATTAGATATGCAGGTTCATGAAAATACAGTTTTAAAGCTGATTTACCAAAATGTAGTGAATTATTAGTATAATCTATATTACAGCTATGGGCGTTAAGCATGTCAGAACCTATGATGCCGTCGTAAGGCAGATGAATTTTATCGATGACGTGAAATTTATGAAATATACTGGATTTAGGTAGACGTAATTTTAGCTGAAAATGTCCTCGAGTTTGAATGGATTCATCGGATGAATCAATACCTTTTAACTGAATTGTTTCTTTTACAAGTTGAGGATGTTTTTTAATACAGGAGTGTTTCAGTAGGCTTACAGAGGAACCTGAGTCTACGAGTAAGGATAATGGGATATCTGATACTGGAGATTCAACGAGAACATGAGGTAATAGCATTTTTGCAGGATTATTGGTAATTTCAAATACATTGGATTTAGGAAACTTCGAATGATTCACATTCTGTGAGGATATGGAAGATTTTGGAAGACCAACATCATTATGTTGCTTTATGGATACAGTGGGATTTGGCAGACCAACACCTTTGTGTTGTTTCACGGATACAGTGGATTTTGGCAGATCAACACCTTTGTGTTGTTGCACGGATACAGTGGATTTTGGCAGATCAACACCTCTGTGTTGTTGCACGGATACAGTGGACTTTGGCAGACCAACAGCTCTGCGTTGCTGCACGGATACAGTGGATTTTGGCAGACCATCATGTAGCGATGGTTGCAATTGTTTTGCCATATTGGTCTTATAATTTCCATATGGCGAAGTTAATTTGGGTTTAGAAATTAAGCTTGCGGTGTCGGTTTTGATATTATTTGGCCCCGTACGAAACCGGGACGAGACAGTTATTCGTTTTTTGATTGAGCATCTACAGTGTCATAGCCTTCTTCTTCATGTGAGTCATTTGGATATTCGTCATTAGGGGTGTTAGAAGCAAAATGGACACGTTGAGGTAGCCTGGACTGATTTTGATCAAATTTAAAACGATTATTGTTATATTCTCGTTTACGACATTGTTCCAGGGTATGTCCTGGTGATTTGCAATATCTGCAAATTGTTGCAGGGGAGTTATTTGTATTAGAAGGTCGATTGAAATAGAAATTTGACTTAGGCTTTATCTGATTAGAGTTCGATGTAAGTGGATGATTGCGAGAATTAAAAAGAGAAGTGAAATTTGGCCTTGAAGTATTAGATCGTCCTTGACGTGTGGTAGACGAACTTTGTTTAAATAGGAATTGTTGAATCTTTTCTTCTGAGATCGCGATGTTGACGGCTTCATTGAGTGTTTTTGGTGATTTACATCTGACTATATTTGATAAACGGGGTATCAAACCCATTTGAAAATGATGGAGGGCTAATTCTTCCATGGCTGCTGTACGTCCTATCATTTCCCTATTTTTATGGCCATGTGAAATAGAAATTTCTGTGAGCAGTTGAGATAAACATGTTTCAATTCTAAGAGCATACTGGCTCACAGGTTCGTTAATTTGTTGTTTACATTCTTGTAGGTCTGTCAGTACGTGGGTGTAATGTTTCCTTTCGCTAAATTGTGTTTTTAAGAACTCTTTAAGCTGCGGCCAATTGGTAAACTCTTTTACAGAGCACGCGGCTTGTGCCTTGCCTTGTAATTGGCACAATATATATTTAAATAAAATATCCTTTTGTGGTTCTGTGGCTAGGTCGTAGGCATTATTACAGTTGACTAAAAATGAGTTAAGTGATTCCCTACAACCATCATATGGCTTTATAAATTTAAGTAGAGTGGATAAATCTAACTCAATTTTATTCGCCACTGCTAATTTCTTTTTTGAAATTGATCTAGTAGTAGGTCCAGAAGGAGGAGGACAAAGGCCATCGTCCTCTGTGTCAGTGACGGCAATTTCTGGTCTTTCGAATTTTGGACTTTGGGCTCTACTCTCAGACATTTTAAAGATAAAATAATTTTTAGGCAGATAATACAATTATAAATTTAAAATAAAATTAAATGTTCACAATAGAAAATTAAATCAAAATAAAACAGTAATTAAAAGTTTAATATTCACAATGACCAAATGCAAAACATCACTTACTTGAATACAGACAAAGCGATAACGACGGGTAACATTCCTTCGAAGGTATGGCGAGACGTAGATAACCGTTGCGGATTGAATTTCACTTATGATACTCGAAGCTCCTTGTGGATCGTTGGCTGTATTGATCAGCTTTCAACGTAATCGTTGGGTGGTCGTGTCTGGTCACAACACAGGGCTATATGTGACAGTGGATATGATCTGATGGCGAAGAAGGACTCTGCCTAGAGCATGAGCAGAATGCAGCAATGAAGTTTTGAAGACACTGTATGGGCCGTGGTTAGGTCTAGGGTGCACTAACACTTATACACTTTGTACTTTTATTTTTCTTTATTTCACATATTATTATTTTATGTTTTTGCACAAAGATATTAACACTTTTACACACGCGTCGAATTCGCGTAAACTAGGAGACGGTACCGGGGACTTTTAAAATCCCTTATCGCTGCCACCAAAAATGTTACGAGTGTCTGGATAAATATGTTTTAAAAAAAAAGGAAATTGAAATAAAAAATAAAATTATAATTTGTATGGAAAGAGACAGCCGACTAGCGTGGATGTAGGATGGATGGAGACTGAGTGGATTGACGGGCGACTGGATTACTAATGATAGAATGTGCTGAGTAGTTAGAAAAAAGCTATGTAAGCTCAAAGGGGTGCATAGCCTATGTATAACACAAATACGCGGACGGGCGATATTACTTCCAATACTAATATAATTTCAATTACGTGCTTTTATAGCATTCACATTAATTACGCTTAAGTCAACTGATTAATCTTATTATTTTGTTTCATATGAATATGTGCTATGAATGATAAATTGAAAATCCTCCCACACTCAAATATATATGCCTTAATACGAAATTGTAATTTGTGTAATGTTTATCGCTACGTGGTAGAGATCATATATGGAACAAGAATCAATCTGATGCAAAAGATTTTTATTTTATTTTTGTTTTTATTTCAAAAATTTCTTTATTTATCCACATAAATCATTAAATTAAGTAAATTTCTAGTGTAAATTAAATCCTAGAAGTACATATTATATAGGTACTATTATATTTGTTTAACAAGTACACAGACTTATATAAAACTTACAGCAAAAGGTAACATGTGCATATAATTATTATTATTAATGATTGAACAGTAGGTATATCATTCAAAGTATGTAGGCTTTAGAAAAGCGATTACATTTATATCATATTGCAAAAGATTGTCTAGAGATGAGTTTGAGCGAAATTAGGCTCGATAAAAACTCACCAAACTGATAACTATATCAAGGGTACCTGTCTCTGCTAATATAAATTGTAACCCAAAAATTAATTATCAAGTTCAATTCTTCGGTAACTTTAACTATATTATCTGTAATTAGCATTAGTTATTTTAAAAAATATAAATACTTAATCGTTTTAGTTCTTGAAATATCGATTTATTTTGTTCTACGTGTTTTGGACAGAGCTTATCTATTGCTTTCTTTTTTAATTTTGTAAGCGCGATGTTTAGAATAAATATAAACACAATATTTTACAAAATTTGTCTATTAGCTAAACGCAATTTGACTGAAAAGAAAGTTTAGATTTATGCTTGTTCAACTCAATGATTTTTTATTATAAACAGCTTAATAAGTAATAATACATATATATGTATATGACAAAGCCGCAATCAAAAACTAGTTTGTAATATTCGCGCGGTCATGTGTATTGTGTAAGGAGTCTATTATATAAGAGCAATAAAACGTGATGAAAGTAAAGGTTACTTATTAATTTATTGACGTCGCTTGAACCTACTATGAACTT